CAGACCCAGCTACGGAAAACCAGAAAATGCCTCAGAGTATTGCAAATGTGGATGCTGTGTTGCAATGCCAACAAAATGGGTAAACAAATGCTGTACACAATCAAGACAGCCTTGCATAACCCTAGCCCTCTCTTCCCACAGTGGCACAGTTAGTACTTGATGGAAATGTTCGATCTGGACATGGCCATGCATTAGAGGGATCATTGAGGGAAACTTTATTATTCATTAATCCATTTTACTGCAATTATCTCCTCATGACAGGGAGGATCATTTTAAATATTTTGAAAGAACTTGGGTAATTCACACCTGTTAAGGCCCGTTCACACAAGCGATTTTAAACTTTGATTTTCTCCTTTTGGCATTTGTGTTTTAGCAAAATTACAGGAAACATTACTTTGCATGGCTTTATTATTTACTCTAACACATACACCAAAAGAAGAAAATTGCAGTTCAAAATTGCTTCAAACTTATTATAAGCTTTCTCTTTCTACTAACCACAGCAAATGTTGCTAACAAATGAAAGCCTTTATCATGTTAATGGTTAAATGTTTATGAACAGTAATATTTCATTATATAAAAGACCAGTTATCAAATACATTGGATGTTCAAGCACAACATTTTGTATTGACATTGATTTTTTTATTCTTTAAAATTACTCCTTGCTCCTTACTTCAGTCCTGAAAAGTGTATTGCTGTGCACCGAAGATCAATGAATCCAATATGGACACCCTGGCTCAGTATTGGGGTCCAGGGGTTTGTAATCAGATTTCCTTCTCCTAGGTGGATTGCCTTTCAGGGATTATGAGCTCCACCTAACAGAGCACTTTGTTTTAACTGGCAGACACTTGTCTACAGTGATCAGTTGAATTTATACTGATGGGTTTCAACAAGTTCTTTGACTGAAGGAGGAGGGACAGGGGTTATGTTAGGAGTGATTTGCCTTCGGTAATCACTTGCAACACCATTCCCCATATCTAAAGAAGACTTATAATTAGTTTTATTCCTGTTTAAATGCTGCTGACCAATGTGTTTTAAAAACACTCAAATGGCTTTTTTCAAGCCACATTTTGATTTTGTTAATAATGTTCATGCAAATCAAAATTTGGCTTTCCAAAAAGCCTTAAGTGCTCTTAAAACACATCAATCAACATGCCTACAGAATGATCAAAATATTTGTTTGAAAATGTGATATGAAGAATATGGAATTTCATAATGAAAAGTGAAAAATAAAAGTCACTTTTTTTCTCACTAGGATTCAGGAAAGCATAAAATGTTATACATACCTTCATTATAAGTTGTAGGATGTATTCGTACTGCCTAGGAGAATCTTTAAGAATCTTTATATGGCTCCATTGCTGTTTCTTCCCCTTGCTGAACATATACTGGCAATGGCTCATGTCTGCATTGTATTGTTTCATCTGGCTACTGATCCGTCTGGGTTTCCACAGCGCTATAAGTGCACAATAAAATTTTGTAATGAGGAAATATAACAACATTAACATAACTGAAATATCCAGGGATATGTGTTATGTGCTTACCACAATTAAATCCGTCTTGATGTTTCGTATACAGGCTCGATCAGCATAGTATTCGCGAACCCTCGTCACTTTTAATTCCAGCTTCAGTTTTGAAATGATTTCACCGACCAATAGCATCATTAAAGTACATTTTCGTTGCATACCTTTTCGCGAAATGTTCTTTTCGATTTCCTGGTTGGTTTTGGCGACCAGCATTAGAAGAATTTGCCTTTGAAGTGGACGGCTCTATTATAAAACTCTTGCGAGTCGGCCATTTTGAGCGCGCATATCCGAATAAGGACTGGAGAGCACACAAAATCAAAACAAGTGTGCTCACATTTGTTTACATTTTTGACACATGCGCAGAAGCGACTGTAATCTAGCTTTAAAGAAATACTCTGAAATTTTGGATTAGAGCGAAACGAAGCAACGTCTGGTGGTCAAGCTTTTTAAACAAAGTTATACTTTACAAAGAAAACGGGTGTTGTTTTTAATAAACTTTGGTATATTGGCTACTTGTTTCCATGGCGACAGTGAAAGACAATGAGCTGGCAACAGAGCGAAGCGGCATAGTGTAAACACCTTTGATTTTTTACTTCGGAGTAAAAATTAATGCGGTATGAAAAGTAATCCGGTATAGTGTAAACGGGGACTAAAACAAAACACTTCTATCTGCAACTTTTACAATCACTGATAACTTGATAATAATTTAAACCAGTCAAGTTGTAGTTTAAATAGAGAATAATACATGGGTGCGCGAAAATACCAGATTTATTTCGAGTGTTGAACATGATATCTCACAAGTGAGCGCAGCGAACGAGTGAGATGTCATGTTCAACACGAGAAATCTGGTATTTCCAACCACGCATGTATTTTTCTGTTTATTATATAAAGGACAGTCTTTGAAAAGCGATAATTTTTACAGAAAAGCGATAATTGAAAAGCGATAATTTTCACATGTGAGATTATCATGAATAATTTCACATGTGAGATTATCATTTTTATCAGTGCTCGAAATCTCTATAAAACACTATACTTTATATAATAAAAATTCATAAATTTGAACCATGCTAGAGCATGACAACAGCAAAATGCTCTATAGTATGATGCACAATATTTTGGGAGGTGAAATACACGAACAATAAATCAGAGAGTGTTTGCTTGGAACTCACTGGGGGGGGGGGGCAACACCCCTGATAATTGCTCATGAGGAATTTCAGGTAGATTTCCAGTGCACTTTTAGGTAAATTTAAGTAGATTTGCAGAAGATTTTCAGGGGAAGTCAGGTAAATCTCAGGACATGAGAAAGTACGTGAATTTGGAAAACAACTGTATTTTCGGAAAAATTATTATATGTCCTGAAAATTTGTTGTACATCTAGAAACATTTTGGTAACCCCCCCCTCTATCTAACCTCACACCCCCCCTGAGACGAAGTGCTCGCAACGGCACTGAGTATACATCTTTTGAAAACAGGCGAGGGGTTATTGCATACATGTATTTCTAGTGCTAATACTGAATAGCGCACTTTATGTAATGTAACGCAGATACATTAAATTAAAGTTGTTAAGGCCGAATTTTATGAAATCCAACACAAATGAAATGTATTTGTATTTCCTTTTGGCCATCAGCGACCGCCTGTCCCTTGTTCATAATATCTTACCAACCAGTTCTTGTGTTGTCGGTCCAAATTCACTGACAGAAGCAAATATTAATTCTTGTACTCGAATTTTGGGACCGAGTTTTCGCACAGTATCAAGAAAGAATGGGACAGACTTTTGGTAACATTCGAACGGTAAGGGGGATTTCGCCCCCCCCCCCAACCCCCGCTAATGTGCGCCTCTGACAATACCGCCTTACGCGTGGTGGGACTGTACCAAATTGGTCGCTAATTCGTCGCTTTGACGCTGTCCCTTTATTTTGGCAAAATAATTGTTAAAAATAATAGTTGACGCAGCAGTCAAAACACCCTGGCTATGGACTACAATGCACTCAACTGCATGGAGCTATCAAATTTGGAACTGCTCAAAATCCTATATATTAATTTAGAATAATTATTTTCCGAACGATCGTTATCATATAATTCAATCACTAAATATATTAGATATCTATATAAATTCACTACAATTAAATTAATTCTACTTTGCTAAAATAAAACGCGAAACTTTCCAGTACCGGAAGATATGCTATTTGCAGGGCCTGCTCAAACATTTAAATTAAATAGGGGATTCAAGGTTTCCGAAGCCATAACGAAACACAATAGTGCAAGGGGTGCAAACACAATGGAATTCCCTAGACGTAAATTTGCAGGAGGTGCAAACACAATGGTGAAAACAATAGATTCAAGATGGTTTCGGAAGCCTTGAATCCCCCTACTGAGTACAATCCAAATGATGCCCAGAGATGGAATGAGCGGATCAATATTAGTAAAAAGCCAGCGTATCAATTCCTCATGTTAAATAGAAATGGTGGGAAAATGGAACTCAATATTTTGATAATAATTTTTTCCATCATTTTCGAAGGAGCTTAAATAAAGTCTGGCTTTTTACTACAATTGATCTTTAAGGATTGGGTGATGCCGTGACCTGCTCCTGTAAAAAGCCTTTTTTTGCACACATATACAGTCTAGGACGGTTTTTGAATATTATTGGGAAGCAAAAACACGTGGTCTTTCTTAAAAGTGTGCAACGAATCTCGTATTGCCCATAGCCCGCGTTTTAGGATTTAGAAACGTTTTGAAACATGGAAAGGATAAACAGACTAAACAACCACTCTCCAGAAAGTCGTTCTAGTATGGTTATGGATTGTGCTTAACAGCAGCCACAAGCTTTCTTCTGCCCCTATCAGGCCTCATGCTTCAACGTGAGGTCACAGTGTCTAGAGCTGCACCTACGAAATCGTGCGAAAAATCGTCCTGATTGAGCCCACACCAGATTCCCTGGGCTGGGTTACCAATTAAGGCTATTTCAACGGTTAACCCAGGTAGTCAGAGCACTAATTTGCAGGCTATGTTTCAGTACAGCTTTCAACAATAATCGTATCTGATTGGTTAGTTCTATTTTCCCCAACAACGCATGGCAGCAACCCAAATGGCGATGGCAATTCGATATATCTGATAAGCAAAGATATATATTCAGTCCTTTGAGTCTTCTGCGTAAGTTTTGCACTAGTTTGTTTCTATATGAACCATTACTGTGAAGGTTGCTTTAAAACGGGATGGATACTCGTGTGAAAACCTGACAATTTCGGAAAAAGCAATAGTTCCTCAATGTGCATTACTAGATTGAGCGCCATTTTGTTTTTTGAAGACTTCGCAAGCCCTTTAGAAACTGTGACTTTACCTTGAGGCAGCGGGAACTTGTGGGAGTGGAAGACTTTCACTTCCTTTTAGAAGATTCGAGTCAGTCTAAACAACACATAATCTAAAGAGTGCGTTCTAGATAATTTTGCGTCCAGCGATGTCAAAAAATCCATCATTATAAACTTATTCACTATTTACATCCTGATTAACTTCTTCCAAATAACTACCGGGTACCCAGCCCTCTTGAGATGTTCTCTGCGATCTTGCAAACCACCATCCTCCATCACCAACTCTGAGAACTTGTAGAATATCTCCTTGAACAAAACTGAGTTCAGTCGTCTCGAATGACGTGTAGTCAGCTATCGCTGTGTAGATTACTTGCGGTTCTTCTTCATCATTCTTTAATAGTAAAAGAGAACGTATTGGTGAAAGTAGTGGTGGTGGAGTTTGAACTAGTTCGAGGTTAGCAAACAAAACATTTGATGGATAGCTTGTATCTTACAAACAATCGCATTCACTGCAGTCAGCAGACTGCTTGAAGACATTCAAAGATCCCCGGCCATTAGACCCTTAGTAAGTTGTGATCTATGTTTGCTTCGCTCACTAGGAAGTCTAGGAAACCTTCATTGAACAATTTGTGTAATTTATGACTTAAAACTGATGTGCTTCTCAATCTCCAAACAAGCTTAAAAAGCTGGTACTTTATCTGTACAATAATGCGTAAAAGAAGAGATTTTAGATAGATTTTAGAGGATAAATGATTTCGTAAGTTTTATTTTATTCTATTTATTAGTTTCGCCATATTACAATACACAAAACTATAACAAGAACAAGAATAATTTGCATGACTATCGGCAGGGTGACCGCAACAGCGTGAGCCAATTACTGCGGGCCCGAACTACTGAATTACTGTTTTGCATATATTGCTGTAAATATCGTCACTTATAAAGCATCATTGATAATTGTATTTTAATTAATTTACATTTTTTACTTTTACTACTGCATGTATGAAGTTAAAACTAATTTTGTAATTAAGTAATTTTGAGAGGTGTGCCAAACAATTTTACGTTTAAACGATTTTACGCGACATACACTGAAAAATTGTCTCTCAATATTTTTTTTATAAGAAACGAAACTGGCAATTTGGGAGACTGCACGGCAGAGTCGCAGACGCATATACCTACCATTTGAAACGACATAATTTATTTAGTCAAAGTGATAACGACTAACGAAAATATAAACTAATACTAGAAGTTACTATCGCGAAAGTGCTGCCGATAAACGCTATAAGGAATGGAACGAATAATTAACAGTTATTCTACGAACTCGAGTCGAATATGAGCTGATAGCCGATGAGGCGTGTAGCGCCGAATCGGCTATTTCTCATATTCGACGAGAGTGAGTGGAATAACTGTTTTATTATATACACAAGGTCTGAATTCATAGACTTTGCTTTTCGGATATCTTCAATATTTTTTCTAATGAGTATTTTGTTAACATGTTTTTATCTTCTCTCTTTTGGCCGATTATATTTCCAAAATATATATTTTTAACCATTTCAAATTTTAAAAATTCATTTGCTAACCTTTGCTTGTGGGAGTTTTTTCATTGTCTTTTTAATCCTGTAAAGACTATAAAAAGCGAACAACTTGCTGTTTTCTCGTTGGCAAAACGTCGTAAATTCGGTTCGAGCCGCCATTTTGTTTTTCTCTACTAGCAGGATATGAGCTAATATCCTGTGAGATCGCTATATCATAAAACACATACGAATTAAAATAATGTTAAGATAAAGGAAATTAGTATAGGTAATCACACGGGAAGGAGTGCAATTAATGATTAACACTACGAGTGATATTTGAAAAATGTGCCAAAATTGCACGAGCCGCCGAGGCGAGTGCAATTTGGCACATTTTTCAAATATCACGAGTAGTGTTAATCACTAATTGCACGACTTGCCCGTGTGATTATTTATTTATTATATGCATGACAAAATCGCTTTCTTTATATTTCAACTGCATTTTGTCAAGAGTTTTTAATTCTTTTGTAAGCAATTTGGTATAAACAAACTTGGGAAATGATTATAAACTCATAAAGGCACATAACTTAAACTAGGACACAAGATTCAAACTCAAACAACATATTTAGACAAACAACTCAAACAACATATAGACTAAGAAAACCTTTATAAATTGTATTTCAAACTTACATAGTCACGTTTCGCTGCATCCCGCCAAGATTATTTCTTAAGACTGTCTCCAGGTATTTTCCACAGGCTTTTTTTGCCATACAATGTTTCTTAAACTCATTCTTGTACCAAAATTCAGTTAAATTAGTCCACATTTGTTAGAAATACGTATCTAAATCTCGTCGCCATATTGGATTTTGTTGATTTGATTTCCCGCTCCCCCCAGCCATCACGAAAATCATTAATTGCACTCCTGGAGAGTGCAATTAATGAAATAATTGCACTCCTCTTAACCAATCAGATTGCAGTAATTTTGTCAAGTATATAATAAACACCAATAAAAACCTATAAACCTACCGTCTTTGTTTGGTCATCATCGTCAGACCACTCACTGTCATCAGACCACTCATCGTCGTCATCATAATTGTCATCTTCTTCATAACTATTGGAATCTTCGTATTGTTCTCCGTTGTTATTTGTAATCCTGAAATAGAGAAAACATATTTAGATTAGGGTAAACATTGCAGTTCATTGCATTTCGATCATGTTTATTGTGTATTCTGCAGTTGTATTCATCGGGGCGGTTTGTAAACTCATGCAGTTGAAGGAAAAGCATGTTATTGTCAAAAAGAAACGAGGTCGGTTCCTCTATTGTAGTAGCTGAATAATTATAGTTATAATAGTAATAATACTTTCTAGCATATTGTAATCGTGGCTTATGTGGTTGTATTCACAGGTGGCGGAACCTGGAGAGAGCTAGGGATGGTGGAGGGGCTTCCTCCAAACTTTAAAAAAGCAGAGAAAAGAGGGAGCTAAGTCCCTCTAAAAATAAAGTTAATTAAATCTGTTAATTATTCATAACTCCATGATGTGGCTTGAAACAGTTGTTGTAAGAAGTTAACACGAGGTTTCTGTGGGTCAAATCTTCCTCAGAGCGCAGGACAAGCCATTTCAGAGAGTATAAACAGGTTCACAAGGGATCGACAAGGAGAGGTCGGGATATAGATAGTTATATGATTATACAGGGTGTATAAAAAAAACTGAACAGATTTGAAATTGCTCTCAATTTCGCAAAACAGCTATTAGTATCCAGCTTTTTATATATATATGGCTTCTTTGGGTACTCATAATGTAGAATGAAAAAATTTCGCGAACACAAATTTTGTAAACCAGGGGGGGGTCTTTTCCGACAAATTAAAAATGGCTTGCGCATGCGATTTAAAAGTTATAATCGTATTTTGAGTTAATGGATGAAAAATGTGTCGGGTGTTTAATTGCTGCACAAAATTTCAAACAATTTGCTCCAGTTTAAGCACTTCAACTATCCACGCAAACTTACAATTTTCGTGAAAAATCAGCAATTTGCATGCTTAATTATTGCATTTGCCCAATTTGCATATGTCAGTAATATGCAAATTAGGCAAAGGCATTAATTAAGCATGCGAAAGGCTGATTTTTTAGGGAAAAATGGATATGTGAAGGGCTTAAACTAAAGTAAATTGTCTGCAATTTTGTACAGTAATTAAAAACCCAACAAATTTTCCATCCATTAACTCAAAATACGATTAAAGCTTTTAAATTTTGTGCGCAAGCCATTTTTAGTTTGTTGGAAAAGACACCCCCCCTGGTTCACAAATTTTCAGTTCGAGAAATTCTTTTCATTATTCTATCTTATAAGTACCCATGGAAGCTATATACATCAAAAACTAGATACTAATGGCTGTTTTGCGAAATTGAGAGCAATTTCAAATCTGTTCAGTTTTTTTTATACACCCTGTATATACGCAAAAGGATATTATAAAAAGTTTAAAAAAGGATATTATAAAAATCTCTTCGAACCTGGAATCTTTGAACAATTCTATGGTACTTTTAATACCTCGATAATAATTGCATTATATGTCGTTTTTGAAAATGCAAATTATGTGTTGAAGTTATATCATTTTCAAACTAGCATTTTAAGGCCCTCTCACACTATTGCGTATCATACTAGCGTATCCCAGCGTATGAAAAATATCACTCATACGCCGGTATACGCTGACATACGCTAGGGGTACGTTAGGCATAGGTTGTCATACGTTTCAAGCACGGTCGCATACGGTGGCATACGCTGGCATACGGCGAGGCAGAAAATTTTTTTAAGCATGTTCAAAAATTTTGTGCGTATCGGACGTATGCTTTATACGATAAGCATACTCTAGGCACACGCTGAATACGCTAGAGGTACGCCAGATGTACGGTACTCATACGCTGGCATTTCAAAGGATTTTTGTGCGTATGAAAATTATTTCATTAATTTTCATACGCTTCTCATACGTTTCTCTCATACGCAATAGTGTGACAGGGCCTTTAACAACACAAAGGAATGCATGATATTCTTATTATCATTACCTCAGGTGTTCAGCGCTCTTTCTCCTCTCAGAAGCACTACAGATGAAACGAAACGTTTTATTATGGTAGAATGATAAATGAAGAATTGGTAATGTAACACCAAATCTATATAGTTTAGCAGAATTAAAATATAAATGAACCATGCCCTTATATATGTTCCGTAATACATTTTCCATATGCTATAGGTTTGGGAACTTTAAAATCTCTATATTTGCTTAAAAAATTTACTTGAATGTTCATCAAAATTAGAAAAGATAATAGTTCCTATAAGATTTTAATAAAAATAGTGGGTGGAAAATAACCTATTTATATTTTTCCACATTTAAACCATTTTTCCACATTTAACCAAATGTTAACTCTATTTACTTCCTTATTTATTTAAGTATTTTCCACAGTGGCGTAACGCAACCGCTGGGGACCCTCCGTCAATCGGCCACTTTGGGCCCCTTTGCTCCACTAAAAATAGGCTCCAAAAATTTTTCTCGGAACAATTTATTTTTGGCGACCTCCCCCCCCCCACCACCACCCCCACTCGCCAAAAATTTTCGGATATTGTACCATTTTAGGGGTCCAAATTTTTTTACGGACATACCCAATGAAATTGCAATTAATTCATTCTAGTATCTCGTCCTTTACCTCAGCCGCGACGTACTTAATCCGTCGCAGCTTCGGGAAATTTCTGGATGGATTTTGCCTTTTCCAGAGAATGGGTTATTTTTATTCAATTCAATTCAATTAATTCAATTCCCCAGAAATGTGCTATCAAATTTTTTAAGGTCATTTTTGTCGGGGGCCCCCCGTCACTGGACACCCTGACACCCTCCCGTTACGCCACTGATTTTCCAGTCAAAGAGTTGAAAGAGACGATTGTTCATAGAAAATACTTGCCGCATTATTTGCAAACAAGTGAAACTCAGAAAATAAGGAACATTTTGGAAAATCATTAATGCATGTATACGAGAAATAGCCATGGGTCCATGCAAGTACAGATCCCTGCGGTACCCACATTTATTTTTTATTTCATTTATTTATTTGTTTTGTGGATTGGACCTTTTGGTTTTACCCATTGTATCTTCGTTTACTGTTCATGAGGTATGTCATAGCATTAGGCATGTATTTTTGATGGTATTATATTGTTTTTGAAGATATTATATAAATGTCAAAATTTCGATTGGTGTAAATAGTTTAAAAGGCACACATTACATTAAAGGGTGTATAAAAAAAGTAGACAATTTTGAAACGGCTCTCAATTTCACAAATCCGTTCATGTCATAAAATTTTGATAAATATAGATTGATTGGGTACTTATAATGTAGAATAAACAAAACAATTTCGTAAAGATAAATTTTCCAGATCAGGGGGTGTCTTTTTTAGCAGAATTAAAAATAGCTTGCGCATGAAATTTAAAAGTTTAAAACGCAATTTGAGTTCATGGGCCAGAAACTTGTTATGTGTCTTATTAATGGTCTACAATCAGAATATGTACTTCATCATAAGTTCTTTAAATAGCTGCTGAAACGTTCACTTCTTGGCACCAATGCCTATCATGCATGCTCAATTCATGCATTTACCTTATTTAACTTTTTGCACAATAACAATATGCAAATTAGGTAAAGCATGAATTGAGTATGCGTGATATAGGAGGCATTGGTGCCAAAAAATTAAAGTTTCAGCAGCTATTTAAAGGACTTAAAATTGAGCAAATTTTCTCATGATGTGGACCATTTATAAAACACATAACAAATTTCTCGCTAATGAACTCAAAATGCGTTTTAAACTTTTAAATTTCGCACCCTAAAATATATATAATTAACCATCACTTGACAGATCACTGTCACAATTACTTAACAAGCCTATTCATGCACTCTTCTCTCTCAGCCATGTTTAAATGAAAGCCATGTTTGAGATATCTCCGGGAATATTTTATCGGATGAAGGAATGTAATATATCATTCAACTCGTCTGATTGGAAAGTTTAATCTTTTAAATTAGTAAATGTCTTACCCAGCAGGAGATGCAAATTTTATACCACGCTGAAATCCAGGAGAAGTAGCACTTACTGAATGAGATCTGGATTCTATAGGTATGAATCAATTCATATTAATATAATATGTTTACAAGTAATGTATTCTTGTTGCAATAATTATTACTTGATTTCTACTTTACCACAGGCTGTCTTAAATAAAAGACTAAGCCATAATTCCGCCGGTAAGTTGTGTTTAAATTAAAACAAATCAGGAAATAGTAGGATAACTCATTTTACTCTAACGGCTATACAGTAGGTCTTAAAATCAACCAAGATGGCCGGTCAATAACACGTATAGTGACGACATGCGCAAACGAGAAATACCTTTAGCTTGTGAGAATTGAGATTGCAATAATCGTCTAATTTCCTGCACCCAACATTTCTTAATATCTTCTGACGGAGCCTGAAATCATCAAGTGATATATTTCGTAGTGATGTTACTCTGAGTGTATATACACACCGGGCAAGCTTGAAAAATATGCCTGACCACGGTGGGAATCGAACATACGACCTTTGGAATACTAGTTCAATGTTCTGCCAACTGAGTTACTAGGTCAGATCGGTTCGACTATGTGATATTTCGGAACAGAATCTAGTTCCTTCGATATCAATGTAATCTAATAATCAGCAATGATTTTTCTGTGTTGGTGTAATGTACTCATGCATGCAGGTGATTATGATGCTTGTGATGTTCAGTCTGAGTGTATATCCAGATCGGTTCGACTATGTGATATTTCGGAACAGAATCTAGTTCCTTCGATATCAATGCAATCTAATAATCAGTAATGATTTTTCTGTGTTGGTGTAATGTACTCAGGTGATTATGATGCTTGTGATGTTACTCTGAGTGTATATCCACACCGGGCAAGCTTGAAAAATATGCCTGACCACGGTGGGAATCGAACCTACGACCTCATCATAATCACCTGAGTACATTACACCAACACAGAAAAATATTTCGTAGTGTTTGCATATATATATATACAAGTCTTTCTTTATATACTCTTTATAATAATGCACAATAGCTGGACGAGTGTAAGAGTGTTGCATTTCAAAGATTTACCATATTGTTTAGGCAGTGAACACAACCTGTTTTGAATGCGTCTCTGGCATTGCACGAGCACTGCATGTGCGCTTCGTCCAGACTCGAACTCAAAAGATCTGAGCCTTTACCAAAATTGTAAATATTGGCTATAGCTAGAAACGCCGACAAATCACGTGAAGTACAGTGCGAACCACGATATTAGTTATGTATGAGATTTGGGCATTATGTCTTAGAATTAGGAGGG